GTAGATCGGTCAAATATGACCAATATGTCATATTTGTCAGATTTGTCCAATTTGTCATATCGGTCAGATCGGCCAAAAATTTCAAATCACATGATTGGTTGTAGTTGATCGGCGCAGCATGGATCACGCCTTTAACGTCAGTGATCAATAATCCATTATTAGTGATAGTATTGTCATAGCTTGGCCGCAATAACGGCATATTTCATATAAAATAAATTTACAGTATTCTGATTTTGATTTATATCAAAATTTTCTTGTAAAAAAAGTTATTCCGAAAGAAAATTGTAAAATGTTAAAATAAACTAGGTCGTTAGAGCGTCCGAAGTAAACAATAATGTAACAATTAATTTTAATTGTTACACCTGGTCCTATAATCAGCTGATGTTCAAGCAAAGACATTGCATGGTATGGTATTGAGTGTACATTAAAAAGTCCTACGCTTATGCTTCGGATAATAAAGCGTATCGCACGTTATTTATTTATATAATACAATATTTATCATCAATAGAATATTAGTAGCCTATTTGCGTTCAATATTGAATTTTATAGTTATTTACAGTATATTGTTAAAGAATAAAAAAATTTTTTTTTTTATATTAATTTTAAAATAAGAGATAGATTTACTTAAATATTTAAAATATCATAACTGTTTGCGTTATAAGAAATTTATCGCGTGAAAAAAACATAAATCATTAACATAAGGATAGCAGAAAAATTAGAAATTAATAATATAATAGGAACTTTTTTTTTTTTATAAATGCTATTATTTCGCATGATATATTTGTTTGAGAGCATAATAGAAAGAATTGATAGGGTTCGATAAGTTTTTTTTTATAAAGCATGATCTTTTGAGCCGTACTATAATATATTTTTACACTACGTAAAAGTCTTTCCTTAAAAGATAATCTTCAATTGAAGGTATCTTTTAACAGTTGTTAGAACAGTACAGTCTAACTTTAAAATATTCTTTAAAGGTTAATTTAACTATTTAAATTTAATTCAGGCTGTGTAATATAGATATTAAGAGAAAAAACTGTTTTTTTAAAACAATTCGTTCATTCATTATTCTGGATTTATATATTCATTCAAATACATAAAATTTTTTTGCTAGAATCAACTAAGATAGGAATTTAAGAAGTTCAACGTTGTTAAGCTTAATCTGTACGAGAACGTATTTGCTAACAGGGAGTTTAATTACGTCTAAACTATGAAAGAAATAAACACGAATTAATTAAATTGAAGGGTCAGATCGTCTTTATTAATATAGATTTATAGAAGAATGAATTATAAACGAACAAAGAGTTATAATTTCAAGTTAGTATTGAATTGTTACGCGTGAAATATATATAATTAAAAAAAAATAGGCTAATCGTCCACTTCTAAAAATGGTATAGAACGATTAAATTTAACTCTGGCCGGCACTATGAGGTATTAATTTATCTTAATAATTTTGAATAATTACTTCTTATAATATTTCTGAAGAAATAAAAATATATAATTTTTAAATTTCGATTATAAGATAGGTGATAATAGTTAAGAAACCGCCATTTAATCACGTTATCGTTAACGTAAGATAACAGTTCAAAGAGGCAAGTATAAATTCTACATGTTAACGACGTTCTCCTCTCCTCAGTATAAATCCAATAGTGAATGAATCTAATTCACAAATCTGAAGGACAGATTTCGTAACAAATTCCCGATTCATAAACGTTCAAATAGCTAAAATAAGCATAATCCCGTAATTTCATATAGCTGACATAATTCATGAATTTGTTCACTCGATCTTATTTATCACTATCAATAAAAATAAATAATAAATCACGATTTGGTGCAACTTTATTGAAATAATAATACTACAAACAATAATTACATGAAGTTTTTGAGAACTAATAATATTTACAACAAACTTATTTTTGAGCTCTAAGATACGTACCAAACGTAAAGATTTCAACAATATACTGTAATTATAAACCCTATAAAAAAGTTGATCCGTGTTTTGTTTTCCTTGTTATTGTCGTAAAGTGCTCATTTTCACGGAAATTTTACATAAGCCACGGAGAAATAATGGAAATATTCGGACGAAAAATTTTTATATGAAATTATTTAATCCCTAGACTTGATTGCAAACGGTACACACTGGAGGAGTTCCAGTGCATTCAGTACATTTAAAGGTACAAGTTCCGCATTTACCGTCGCATACATTGCCGCATTCACCAGTGCATTTGACGTCATCGCCGGAGCAAGTAGGTTTATCGTCGCATCCACCACCAGTGCATTCGCAAGCTCCACACATAAATGTACACACATCGCCGCAAAGAGGAGCGCGTTTTGTCAAATAAAATGGTGATTTTGCCAAAGGATTTGCCAAAGCAGAGACAGCAAACATAGCGAGCAAGAAAAGATTAAATTTCATTTTGATTATTTTTTTCTTCTTTTAGAAAAGGATTTTTTTTTATTTTCAAATGATATGAAAACATGGATGTATTTATAATAAATTATCATCTACATCTATTGATAAGAAGATTCTCTTTTTTGTCGACTAAATAGGAAAATCTAAGAAATTAAATCAAATGCGATTTAGAAAATTACAATTACATTAAATTTGGAAACAGTCATAATTAAAATAAAAACCTATTTAAAGCATATCAGAATTATTACGCAATATATTTATATCTTTCACTCCTTATGAATTTCTTTTTTCATATTTTTCTTTTCCGATAATTTTTATTGCCATTTTTGTATATAACTTATTGTCCGTCCGTTTTAAAAGTTTAAAATCTAAATGACAACCTTCTTAAGTTTAATTAAACAGTTTTTTCTTTTTAGAAACAACCATTCTTAAATACTAGGATAGGAACGGAAACCGTTGTTTCAGAACTCTTTCAGGCTTAATTATGCAGTATGTGAGTCCGTTGGTTTGTTTATGGTTAAAATGAAAAAATGGTAGATCAATAAAGTGTATTGGTTATGGGTCACGTGAGAAGATAAAAATTTTATAAGTAAATTTCCACCTCACGTGTCTGGTGGGGAGTGAAACAAAAATTTTTTAGCGGCAAATTGTGCATGTCACAAGGGGGGTTGAAAATCTTGGGGCGATACTGGGTATTTGAATTCTCCAAATATGGTTCGTTATTACCAAAATTATACATTATTTTTTTTTTAAAAAAAAAAAAATGCGCCGCGTTCATAATAATTACTTAGTGACAATTGGAAGACAAATTAATGCCGATCGTCAATTTTGCCAATGTAAATAAAAAAATCTAAATGGAAAATCTAAATCGAAAATTTTTTAATTATTGAGCTTGAATTGGTTAAATTACAATTCTTAATCTGAGCATATAATAATCGGATTTCAGCATTTATGGACATAGGAACGATGATTTTCTGTGTTTCACGGAAAACCGCAAAAAATGCAGAATTAAAGTACCCAGCCTGCTGATCGTAGATCTTTACCGAATCAGATAAATCCAACCAGCATATAATAATGTAAATTTCCTAATTTGGTAAAGATTAAACGATAAATTAGAGCATAACATACAGAAACTAACAAAAAATACCACAGAAATACCGCAGAAGCCAGTACTTTTCTATTGCACGGTATATTGCAGAATTTATTTTTAGCATACGAGTCATGAGATCATATGATTTGTAATGTTAATACACTCCCGCGCAAAAAGTTTAGGACCACGGTCAGTAAATTATAAAAAGTTTTTTTTTTTAATTAATTAATGTTTTATTAGAGTTAGGCTACATGAGCGGTAATTTAATATGTAACATTTTTCAACGTAATATGTCTTATATTAAGTCACATGATTTTTCGAAAGAAAAAAATTCTTTGTATAATGTTATTATATAAAATTATGTTGATTAAAATCCTTTATATACATAAAATAATTAAACCAGCTTAAAATCTTGAAAAAACAAGAACTAAAATATTATTAAACTTTTTAGTAAAAAATCATAGATTTTAATAAAAGAATTGCAAAAAAATTAATTAACGCTAATTCATGATACCAAATCTTATATCTTCAGGTAGGATAGCCGCAAGCATTTATTACCACTTCAATTCAATGAACATTCTTTTAACAAGCTTCTGATAGAATCCACGCAAAATTTCTGACCAGCATTCCTGAAGAAGTGCCTCTCTAACTCTCCTAAATTTTTTGGATGTTTTTGTTTGGCTTTAATGCGGCGTTCTAGCTCCCCCATAAGTGTTCAATAGGGTTAAGATCCAGACTTTGTCCGGGTATGGCAATAAAATTATTTTTATTTCTTCAATAAAGTTTGCATGCGTCTTTGCATTTGTGTGGATTGGTGCAATATCTTGCTGAAACAAATACAATTATCCTCTTCAAGACCACTAATTCTTATCAAAGGGCCTAATCCTCACATCAATGTTTAACGATTGGAACAATGCAATTAATATACTTTAATATACTTTTCATTAATTTATAAACGGCAAATGCAAGTTTGTTTGTTTACAAATACGATATCATATAATTCAATGAAAGTGATGATTTTTTATGAAAAATTTTTTAGAAATATTTTTAGGGATATCAGATTTTGACTCCAATAGTCAAAATAGAACGCTGATGACAAATGAATTTTCTCATTATACAGAACCTTGCGAAATAAAAAGAGATTTTTTTTTTAGTTTGCGTAATTATAATAATTATATATTATGTATAACCAATATTTTTCTTTCCTTTATTTAAAAAACACCCAATTTATATGCAATAGCATAAATTATATTTTATCAGAAATTACTTTCCTTTTATCAAAAATTATTAAATTAAAAATTTTTTATACAAATTTCTTAAAATGTCCGGACCTTTGAAAAAACTTCAGGAAAAAAGCCAAAACCGCTTATAGAAGCGCCGAAGCTATTGACGCAATAAAAATTTACGAGAAGGTATCGAAGATTTAAAATGGGAAATCATCTCTCGGCAAAATCAGGCAACATCCTTCTCCATAATCCGTTAAAATATTTTATCCCAATTTTAATTTTTATAATAATTTTTTGGTGGTGGATTCTCTAACGTAAATATTATAATTACAGTATAAGTTGTAAAAATTTATTACTATTATTTTATATCACGATTGTTTTTTTTATTCAATGGTACAATTTTATTAGTGAATGTAACTAAAGGGAAGGGTTTTAATACCCTAATAAATTAAGCATTACTATGATTCTAATCGTGGTGATGGATCCCTTTTTTTTCCAAAATTTAACCATTTATTTGATGTGTCTAATATTATGCCTAAATTCACGAAATGTGATTTTAAAGAATTTCCAAATCACCATTTATTTTTTATTCATAATTTTTTTTTTTATTTTCTTCAAAATCAATTATATTGCTTATATTGCATCAAGAATTCCTTCTTAAACTACTTTGTAAAATATATTTTTTTATCTATTCTTAATGTCTTTCGAATATTTCGATTTTGTATTCGTTTTAATAATTTATGCTACGCGAAATTCTTTCTTAATCGTTAGCGTTAGTGAATGTCTTTAAAATATTTTTTGTTAATCGTATTTAGGAGTAAAATTTTTTTTTAAAAAAAAATGGATTTTACAGTATTTTAATAAAATCGGAAGAAAAATGGGTTATTTCTTTAATGCTTTTAATTTTTTTTTATTATAAAGTTTCATTTTCGAAAACTAATTGGGAAAGAAAAAATTGGAAACATGTATTAGGTTATTCAACTTTCACCGCATTCTCCGGCCCTAGTTTGAAATTTTTTTTTTTGATAACCTTGTAATTCTTTTACACTACACATTTAAGTTAATAAAAAATTAATATTTTTTTTTCATACCAATATTAATTAAATCCAAATCAAATCCTTTCAAAAATACATTTCTACAAACCAGCATTAGATAAACATTTATTTTTCGTCACGTGTTAAAAAACAAAAAAGATAATTACTTGTCGGTTACGACTTTTCTAAGTTGGGGTGCAGTTTCTTAACCTAAACAGGATGTGAATTATAATAACGTGATGTTAAACATTTTTATATAGGAAGACTTATAACTTATTTTTAGTCGTCGGTTACGATCACCGGATCATGTGATATTATATTAAAAGCTCGAGTTATGTGATTATAAAACAATCTGTCACATCGCGTCACACCCACCATTTGAGAATATGTGGTCTATAGTTGAGGTAGAGATTCGAAAATGCAATCCTCAACCTTCAAGCATTCTTGAGCTTGAAAAGGCGGTAAAAGAAGCATGGGATGCGATATCGCAAAAAGAGTACCAAAACTTGGTGCGATCAATGCCAAATAGAATTCAGTTTGTGATCGCCGCCAATGGAGGACATACTAAATATCAATGTCAGTTTTCGAAAAATAAAAAAAAAATTGTATGTTTCTGTAAAAAATAAAAAATTATTGAAAAAATAAAAGCGTGCAATACTTTTGTCCCCCCCCCCGGTATGTCAGAGAAAAGGTAAAAATATGGTATACAAATTCCATAGTACTACAAGCAATTTGATTTATCATTTGGATAATGAACATGGAATTGCAAAAAATAATCCTACGAGTTATGTAAGAATACTATTCTTTTAAAATTCTTTTGGTTTATTATTTGAAATATCTATTATACTAATATGTAAACAATTAATTTAAGCAGAAGATGAAAATATTGAAGAATCTTTGGAAATTGCTTGTGAAAAGCTACACTTAAAAAACAACCAGACATTGAACTCTCCATGATGGCTTGGGTGATTGATGATTGTCAATCACTCTATCTTTTATGATCCTAATCATTCAAAGCTTTTATGAATATTGCATGTCCAGGCTTTAATATTCCAGACTAAAGATGGTATAGCAATTGATTTCAAATTTACAAAATGTTGCAACATAAGCTAAAATTAGTTGCAACATACTGTATATAGGTTAAAACTAATTGCAACGTAAGTTGCAACATTAAAAGTTACAACATATTAATTATAGTTCACATCTTTATTCCAGACGATGAAAAAGCATGACGTATAATTAATGATGCATTTCTTTGGTCAACAGAGTAGCTTACCAGTATGTTACAAGGTGCTCAATCTGTTTATATCACTACTAATTTGTGGTCATCATGCAATGATGAACCATATATTGGTATTACAGCTGGATGGTTAAATCCTATCGATTGGACCCTTAAAGAAGCTCTATTAGCTTGTGAAAAAATTAATGGAAAACACACTGGTGAAAATATTCATGATGCTATAGAACAAATAATCAGATAATTTTGACTTGAACAAAAACTATTCATTGCTACTACAGATAATGGTCCTAATATTGTAAAAGCCATTTAATTGATAGGAATCTCACATGTATCATGTTCTACTCATACTCTTTATCTTAGTGTAATTAAAGGTATTGGCGTTGCTGAAATATTTAAAAAGCAGGTTACAAATCTTATTTTATATTTTAAACAAACAGAAAATCTTAAAGATGCTCAACGAAAATTAAATTACCCAAAGGTGTATGAAATTCTACTTGATGTTAAAACTAGGTGGAATTCTACTTACTTTGCATGAAGTTGTCTATTTGAATTAAAACGCGTAATTATTTATTTGATTACTATTTTAAAAATATTATAAGATAAAGATAATAAGAATGATAGTGATTATTTGGAATCAGTTAATTTAACTGAATCTGAATGGAGGTAATTTTTATTATCTATAAATAATTATATTATATTAAATAATTGATTAATTATTACCTTTATCTATTATAGTTTTCTTTTCGATATGTTAACTTTACTGGAACCTTTTTATAAGGCAACTAAAATGTTATCAAGTGCTTCATATGCTACATTAAACATGGTTTATTGTACAATGTGTTATCTCAAAAAAAAAGTTGCTCCACCAGAAGGTCGGAATGAAAATTACTATGCAACTTTATTATATGGAGAACCTGAAGAAGCTGAACAAGATCATGAAATAATTTCAAATAATAAATGAATTGTTAAACTGGCAGTTTATATCAATCAATCTCTTATTATATCATGTGGTTGTGAATGAAGACATAATGTAAGCTGTAATAAAAGTAGCCAATGGATTATTCGTGATAATGTTAATTCACAATTTAAAAAATGTCAGGTTATTGAATCACCAGTTAATATTACTGGTATTATAGAATGGGTTAAAGCCACCATCTATTTAAGTATGTGTCAATATTGGAATGTATCAAAAGAAGTTACACTACTTGCAGCTTTATTGGATCCTTAGTTCAAAAAACTCAAATTTGTTACTGAAACACAATGTGATACAACTATTGATAAGCTTAAACAATTATATCAAGCTGAATAAGCTGCTTTTGCAGAAAATCTATCTGATGATTCATCTAATTCACCTAATTCACCTGAATCACCAACATTAAATAAATCACTAAATATTAACCGAAATCCTCATCAAATTAATTATTCATTGCTTGGAATATATGAAGATTCTGATGATGATGATAGTGTTATGTCTGATGAAGTGGCTCAGTATTTAATTTTATCTAAAGAAGTGCAAGGGTGTGATCCATTAGAATGGTGAAAAGTTTGAACTAATATATTTTCAATTTTTATTCCAGTTGGCAATGAAATATTTGTCAATTCCCGCTACATTTATACCAAGTGAAAGACTATTTTCTAATACTGGTCTTTATTTATCTTCACGTCATACTTGTTTAAACCCAAGTTGTTGGGATCCATGTTATTTCTAAAACGTAATATGAAGTTATTTAACATATTCAAACCAAAAGACAAATAAGTAGTTGGAAAAAACTTCTAGATGTAAAAAAGTTTTATTTTTACTTAGCTTTTAGTGATTTACATAATATTAGGTAATGTTGGTTATAGTCTTGTTTTTTGATCAGTTAGTCGTATAAAATAAATAAACTGTTTTGAATAAATAAAAAAGATTCAAGTTTATATAATTTATTATTCTGCAAATAAAATTTATTCAATAAGTAATTTATATGTATTTTTATTCAGTGAATAAAAAGTTATTCAAATAAGATTAATTTTATTCGTTGAATAAACGATATTCAAATAAATTGATTTTATTTGTCGAATATTAGTCATTTGGTAAATATTCAAATAGGGTTTGTTGATCTGAATAATTTGAATATTATTCAAATAGAAAATCGGTAAGCTCTATTTATTAGCATCCTATTTATCTCTTATATCATTCCATAAACTTTCTTCTTTATGGTCTTCATTACATAATGGATAGAGTATTAAACTATTAAGATCAAATCACTCACCACGTTCACCACTATCGCTTAAAGATAAAGAAGAAAAATGCTCTAATACTAACCCAATGATATGTTTTTATTTCTTTTCAGGATCTTCAGATAAGATAGAAATTGGAAGTCTGGATTTCTTAGATGATATTACCTAAGATACAGATGATGTACTCACAGCTACTAGATCGATTTTAGAGAAATCATCAGAAGAATTAGAGTCATGAGTTAAAAGAATAACAGTCACTGAATATGTCACATGTCGATCATAGCAAATAAAATTATATAGATATTGATCCTATGATTGGCAAAATTTTATATGATTTTTGCATTTTTTTGACTTTGCATATAAGATAACTGTATGATATTTCTAACTATTTTAAAATTTCTGTTTTACATAAAATGTTCACTCACTTCACAAAAACATTTTTATAGATTTTAAAAGTTGAAAAGTTTGGTAGTTTTAAGAAGATCTCTTTAAACATATTGTCGAATTTAATATGTAAAAATACAATAGACAATTTTTAATATGAAAAATATATTATACTGATTTAAGGTTTTTAGTTTTAATAATTTTTTTTTGCTGTTTAATTTTTTTTATTTTAATAAAAAATATAAATAAATGATACTAAATAAAATTACTATTATAGATATTTTATATTTATTTAGAATAATATATTAGTTTAATATAATATAGTATATTTGAAACTTTTTTTCTTTATCTTTGCTAATTAGAATTTATAATATATTATTTATATTAAATTCTTTTTGTATAATAATTACAGATTTCAAATTTAAATTTGTCTTTTTTTTTGGTTTAAAGTTTTAAATTCTAAAATAAAATTTTTAAAATATTATAAATAAAAAAATAAAATATATATTATATATTTTAGATAATCTGATATTACTTTAAAATAACAATCTTCTTTTTTTTTAATAATTAAAAAAAAATTTTAAATTTTAAAAATGTCAAAAAGTTTTACAAATACTCAAAATATTGATACTTTTTTTTTGATAATATACCTGATTATGAAGAAGATTTTATTTTTTTACAAACTCAAAATTCTTTTAAAGCTGCTCACTTATTATTATAAGATTTAACAGATAGTACAAGTAGTAATGAAAATAGCAATAGTAGTGAAGAATTGGAAAATGATTAAACAATTCTTTCTATTAATACAGAAAGTATAGAAATAGAACAAAATATAAATATATTACAAATAATAGAAATAGAAAAATTTGTATTATCTGCTTATGTAGTAATAGATATTATTAATGAAGAAATAAAATGTTGTGAAGAAAAAAATAATTTACGTGGATTATGGCAATTACAGTCCTAGTCAAAAGTAATGGTGGTTATTATTTTTTACTTATCAAAAATTTTTTCTAATTAACCTCAAAAAAAGTTTTTTTTAAATAAAAACCAATAAT